CACTTATGGTGTTTGCGGCGCTGAGACCACAGCCCGCAAGGCCAGCGTTCTAGTCTTTAGAAAAACTCAGTGCAAAAGGGACTTGTAAAATTACACTTCTCACGAAATATCACCGAGTCATCGTCATTGTATTGCTCAGCTATTGAGCAGCTGTGACACTAACTATCGTAGGCGCCCGCTTTCATCCTTCCGATGCGCACGCGACTGCTCTCAACAATACGAAAAAAAAAAAAAAACTCGCAGTGTCAACCTCTAGAACTGCTCTTGCCGCAATTTCCACACGTGCAGTTCCGTGGTCGTTATAAACATCTCAATTAAAGAGCGACGACATCATTATTATTTAATGAACCTCTCATCGTGCCTACAGTTAGGTGTAGGGATGATGCGTGGGGTTCTCTATTTGGTGAGGCCAAGCCTCACCACAGCGCCTCTACCCTATTTTTCGCTGGCTGAGCCCAAGAGAGCGCAACTTTTACGATAGTTGAAAAAAATAAGAAAATAAAAATTGAAGGCTAGCTTCTCTCTAGGGGTGCCACTGCCAAGCTTGAAGAAAGTGCAAAACTGGGCAGCAATTGTTAATCTTCCATTTTTGTTTGTTTTCTCATCTTTCTTTTTTGCTTTTTTGTCTTTATTTAATATCTCTTTATGTATGTTGATTGCTTCCTCTATTTCTCTTCCTATTTATGCCCATTTCCTCTCTCGTTCTTTTTTTGTTCTTTTTCATTTGCATGCGTGGTTCCATCAAAATTACCTCATTCATTCAAGGTTTTTTTTTTTGTGTGTGTGTGCTGATGATAATGAGTGGTCATCGTCAAGGCCCTTGAAGAACAAGCGGAAGTAGACTTCCGAGTCCTTGGCGTGAGCGCACGATCGCTCAATATGATACGCATGCAAGATTACGCCAAGCGACGACTGCAGAGCATGACAGAATACGAAGTCATGAACACTGTCAGCGCTACACTTTGCTTTGGTGTAAATATATTTTGTAGCGTAATCATCATAGCCATTCATCATCATGCTCGCTCCTAGCCACCGCGCCGGGATCCTCGCGCAGCTCATGCCTAGCTCGAGCTGCGCGAGCAAGAAAACAGAATGAGTTCACGCGCCTCGCTTGTCGGACGGTGGCAGCCGCCGCCGCTCTCTAAGTGATTCTGATAAGGAAAAAAAGAGAAAGGTGTCGGCCGTAACTGTCAATCATTTAGATGCCACCTAAACAGGTCGGCACAAGGTATGGGGCAGTGGGAATAAAAGGGAAAAATAAGAAAAAAGGAAGAGAACAAGAAAAAAAGTCACATTCGATCCGCCCCCATACGCCCACAAGAACACACGCACGCAACACGCAGTCGACCGGAAAGACCGCCGAGAAAGCCCGGGGTACATGCGCACGATTTAACATGAGCAAGAAGAAGAGTGGGGACCTCCAAAGTCATTTGGGAAGTTCGGTTATCCCTGATGCCTGCAGCTCTTTGGGGCGTAATCCATGGCCGCAGCAGCGAATTCCCGCTGCTCACAGTCCAATGACAGGAACGGGAGCACAGGAAGAATTGACTGCTCCAACAAGTTAATTGTGGTGGCCGACGAGGGGCAGGCAGGGGCCGGCGGCTTGGAGGAATCCGCTGGTGTCGTCGTCGCGTTCTTGGGGACGGCGGCAGGAACCAGTAGTTGCTAAACCGCTTCAGCCTATAGGAATAAAGAAGCGAGATCGGAACGGCCACGTTGGCCGCCTTCGACGTCATCTCACGTCTCTCATTTACTCTCGCTGCTACATATTTCTTACCCCTCTCAAACGGTGTGGTTTATTCTACGGCAGGCCTAACCCCTTCATGTGCTCAGCCCTTAAAATGAATATGAAACAATAGCGTGCTTCCCACTACAGCGCACCTTTGGTCCCCTGTTTTACGGGAGCAAAAGCGGCCAGTAAAATGTAGTTGGAGTATACCATCACTGGCCCTCGGCTGCCGTTATTGTCAAAAACTGCCAGGCCTGTGCTGCGCGCACAGCACGATCGCAGTGAGAGTTTGAAGAACGTCCTTTCTAGGGCCTTTTGTTTTTTCAATACACTTTGGGTAACTGCTCCAAGCACACTTGAAGGGTACCCACTATTCCGTTAATCATAATTTTTGTGTAGCATGGAGGCATTCACAATGCCATCCTTCTTCGGAGAAGCGCAGTACCCGCTACACACTAGCAAGGAAATTGTGCAATTTTTGCATGCAGTGACTGACGACGATAAAGTATCATGATTGTAGCTTTAGTAATGCGTTGTAGCATTCGACAACCCACGCACTCGTTACACAATTTGAATTGTTTGACGCCTGATTGTTCCTGGGTGGTTCTAAAGAGCTTATTTTACTAATGATAACGCTATAGTCTTTTCTCGACATCAAGCCTGTTTAGGGTTACTTTACAATGGAGTTTCAAGAAGTGGTGGGGCTCAGTGGTAGAACACTGGAATGACACACAGCGGACCCGGGCTCCCATCCCATCGTGATCTGGGTGTTTTCATTCTTAGTTCCTTTTTATCGCGGTAGCAACTATATGAACACTTTCGGCTGACTTTTGATGTCGCCGCCATTTCCCTGATATGTATAAGTTTGTATATAGCTACAAATAACACAATGAAAAAATACATCAGAAGATCAAATTGCAAGGAATCATCCGGATATGCAAACCAGCGACCACTTGCTCAGGCTCAGCATGCTGCATTAACCAGGTAGACCACGCCACTCATACTGTTCCTCATACTAACGGCAAGCTATGTCTATACACCATTTGCCACTGGCTTACTGTCAGTGAACTTAAAGAAATTGCAAATGAGCTTTGCGGAAGATCGCAAAGTGGCTAGGCTTAAGAAAGAGAAAGAAGACAACCACTCGTTTGTAGCACGAAGCCACAAGAAAATTCATTTGGATTTCTTCGAAAGAAAATCCTCTCAGATGTCGAGAAGTTGCCCCAGACCAGGACGAATTTTTCGGCAAAGACGCTGTTGTTTCTGAGAAATCCATCAGCACAATTATTTGGCAACTAAGAGGCTTTTCTTTCTAAATTCGTATGAATTTCCTCTTGGCTTCGTGCTACAAACGGTTGGTTTTCTTTCTTTTCTTTCTTAACTTAAAAGAAACATTATTGAACAAGGCATGTCCTTTGCTTGGAAAAGCCATACATGCTTTTCCTAAATATTGACGTGCCCAATGGGTCGATAAATGAAGGGTGGGTTCACTGAAGCACATACAGTTAGCCGAAAAGGACACTCCAAAATGTCTCTGGCTCCACTCTCACCCTGAAGCAACAGAAAAAATCGCTCGCAACTAGTCCAGTGCCTATGAATGCGGTTTTCCTTGAAATGCGTACCGCCATTATCGCTTTAGACGGACAAACTCAACTCGCTGCCCAATATATGTTTTGGTGACGCTTGCACTATTATAATATCGCACGGCTTTGTCGTCGCAACAGTGTACATTTCCCCACAGACCCTGCAGACTAACGTCATGCACTTGTTGCTGCATAACTACCGTACGGTGTGCCAACAGAATGTTGCCAGGATAGCCACTGGAGACTTCAACGTTAATGTACTTTCGATGACAAAGCCTGTCTTCTTTCATTATATCCGACTTCCTTTCTAAACGTGACAAGTCAGTGGCTTGTCACGTTTTTCAATACCGAAATTTTACTTCGCCTCCTGTCATACGTTACACAGTCATTAATTTACATCAGCATCCGTTTAGAGAACAAGGTTAATGCATTGCTGTCGATTCTATCAGAATCGGCCCAATTCGCTACATTTCGTATGGTTCCCTAATCTCTTAGCCTTACTTCGTAGAACAGCCCGATATATTGCTATCGCGTTTATTGATGCGTCATTGTTCCGGAACTGTGACTTTTTTTCGCATTTCGCGTGATAGTGGTTACGGACAACTACAGCGCACACGGCCCTTGTAGGGATTTTATAACCGGTTTCGCTGTAAAACATTCATGCCCATAACCTTGCTCTCTTAACAATGAAGGTTCATGGCCGAGTGAGTAAATTTATTCGGCAGACTTGGCACCCCTATAGATTATTATGGCAAGACCGGGCTTCCTTACACCACCCCACACACACACACACACACACGCCGTGTGCGCATGCCTGTAGGTACCCCCTGTTACCCATGCTCTCCATAAAAGCCCCCTAAAATTGCTCTGAAGGGCGGGCACCTAATGCCTGGGGTAAATATTCACGTTCAGCTGATAAAACTCAGAACCTGTCCGACTCAACAAGAAAATTTCGAATAGCTATTCCGTTCCAATAACATTCCGGCTTTTTACTTTCCAGTAATGCCAAACATAATTAACAGGGGAATGAGCTATTGCGGCATGCTTGAAGTTACCGCGGGGATATTAATACTTCCGAGACGTGGTGAGATCAGCCCACGGTTTAGGTAAAATAGAAATATCGGCAAGGTATGGTTGCGAAATGCCAAATAACCATGCTTGAAAAGCTGTTCGTACAGGTCACAATGCCCCAGAGTTTTGCGTATACCCAATAGCATGCAGTCACAATATTGGTTATTGACAGGCTTAGCTTATAATATACGTCTTTCAAGTGTCATGTACCCACCATTAGAAAGAGCACTTCGTGAGCAAGTCTACATCACGGATATACATAAAAGCAAGTGAGGAAAACCTATATCATCCATGCCGTTTGTGCGGCAACGTCTATCACTCGCATATTTAGGGAAATAAATCGATAAATTTGAAGAATGCCGTGCTTCAAAATGTTTATAGAAACGATAAACGTGCGCGTGGGTTCAGAAGCATGAAAAACTCTGCATCTTTATTTCAAGGATCTAGTTCGCGGAAAAACGACCACAATGAGAATGCTTGATCATCGATAAACATTAAGACTATAACAAATTACACGCAATGACAAGGCCTACTGCGAATCGCCACAGGAGTCAGCGAAACGTCTCATGCACCTGAACAAAGGCTCGACAAAAATAGATAGCAGCGCGAAATGGCAGCTAATGTCCCCCAAAAAACCTGCACTTTCTTCGGGGGTCCATTCGCGAACCACGTTCGCACTTAAACGCTTTAGCGAAGGGTGCGAAGTTCCCGAGTGGCACGTTGCAACTGGCACCGAAGTCGGCACGGCTGTCGGCACAGAGAACGTAGCAGTAGTTAATGAAAAACAGCTGGTCGTGAGTGTACTTCTCGAGACCCGGTAGCCTCTGATCGTGCGACGTGTTGAACGCGCTGAAGGCGATCTCCAGGCCCGGAACGGAAGGGAATAGCTGTACGGGCGAACAGCACTCGGTGGCGTTGAGGTCACACGCGAGCCGCTCGCGGTAGTTCTGAGACCGATTGGACCCCCACCACAGCGCTCCGCGGCCTTCTTCGTCTAGCGTGACGCCCTTGGAGTCGAACGCGCGGGCGATCTCGCGCGCCAGCACGGAGACCGCACCAGCGTTGAGCACCTCCATGCCGCTGCGATTGTAGTAGAGTGGCGGCTGAAATAGGGCCATAGGGAAGCGGACGCTGTTGAGGGCGTAGATGTAGAAGGACCGCGTGTAGCCCGACGACACGCGGCGACCGTACAACCCGAGGCGATACCGATCCTTGCGCGTCGCCTGAAACCAGTAGGACGCCTCGGCGAAGTTGGCGGCGAAGTCAGCGCCCATACGCGGGAAGGTGCCAAAGAGCTTCTCGCGCATCTTCGAGTCGAGAAAGGCCGGTCGCGGTATAGAGCTGCTTGCCAAGTACTTAGTCTTTTGCAGAGCGGCGTGACGGGCGTTCCCGATCCACGGAAGCCGATCGATGAGCGAAGCTGCCGAGTTCACGACCGACTCGAAAATGAGCGGTGAAGTCGATGGCAGGTCGCCGATTGTCTGACCAAACGGCAGGAGCGAGCCGAATCGGGATTGGACGTATTCGAGGCAGCTGTATGTCTTCAACGTCGAGAAGAAAGTGGCGTCGTCGCTCCCGGTACTGTGGAACCTTAGTTTCGGAAGGTCCAGAATGACCCACAAGTGAGTCTGCACAAAAAACCATGACAATCCGATCAAGAATTCCGCCTTGCTGTACTTAGCTAGCAGTTTCTGCACGCCGTCGACAAGCCCGTAGTCCTCCACCACGACCCAGTGGTCAGAAGACCAGCTCACGTCTGGAGAGAAGTGTTTGTTGAGCAGGCCGAGCCAGATTGCGGCATCGACCCACGGCGTCGGATTGTCGAACAGGTCTAGTCGGAACCAAGTCTGGTTGGGGTCGCCCTTCGTGACTTGTCTCTGGACGCTGAGCATGTCGCGGGTCAGGTTCCTCAGGAGGAGAGGATGTGCTTTGTCGCCGCCAGCTGCCTGGCTCAGACCCATGTACTCGACGTACTCCTGCACGTGACCCTCGTAATTGTCGGGCTCCTCGTAGTGTACCCAGCTGGTCAATGGCTTTCCGTGGCTCAGGAACAGCGTGACGGGACGACCACTTACGTTCACGAGCTGGGCGTCGAAGAGGAAGTTCTCGTTCCAGTTGATGGCCAAGTCGAGCATGACGTCCAGTGGTTCTATGGTCTGGTTGGGCATCTGTTCGGGCCACGGAAGGTGCATTCTGGTGCGCAGCTCTCTGAATTGCTGAAGTCTCATCTTCGATGTGGTAGAGGTCGCGGACGAAGCATCGCCGTTGCTGTCGGGCGTGGTGCAGCTTTTGAAGAACTGTGACGCCAGATGCGTTGCTGCATTGGCATCTTGCGAAGTGGATCCTGTGATCTTGAATAGGTCCGACTGTAGCTCAGCGATGGCCCGTTCCGCGAATGCCATCATCAAGCGGTCCGTGTACACTGCCACAATTAAGAAAATATTGTGTTCAGTTGAAAGCATGAACTCAATCTTGTGCGCCATAAAAGAAAGAATTAGATAATCTGGGATACACCACGTCTTCGTTACGTAAAAAGATTAAGACATTGCGCAACAGTTACAGGAAAAACGCAAGTTAAGGAGGATTCACGTTGAGGAATATCACACTTGACGGAGTCTGCAATCTGTTATAACTTTGAAATTCCGTTTTCTCGAGTTCTTTTTCCTTCGTGTTTCAATTAATACAGTAGATATTTTTCACCTTTTACGGTACTTCGTCAAGTGTCTCCTCCCTAACTTCCGTTTTCTCTGAAGCTGCATTGCAGTTTTTACTACGATGGTATTCACAGTCTCGACAGCTTTTTGCCATCGCACGCATGTCCCGTAGTAAGTCCACACCCGCGAGTAATAGCGCGCGAGCGGGATCGACGAACGCGGTTGAAGCAGACATCAAACGAACTGGCCCATCTCTGTTGCTCAGAGGGCGCATGTGATAAGATCTCGCCTGATAGATCACCCGTTGAAGGATCAAGCACAGGGAAACGCCCCGCCCACCTTTAACGAGCATGAAAAAACACGAGGAGAGTGGGTTTGCTCATGTAATAACCATGAACAAAATTTTACGGGCGCAGCCCCGCCACGGTGGTCTAGTGGCTAAGGTACTCGGCTGCTGACCCGCAGGTCGCGGGATCGAATCCCGGCTGCGGTGGCTGCATTTCCGATGGAGACGGAAATGATGTAGGCCCGTGTGCTCAGATTTGGGTGCACGTTAAAGAACCCCAGGTGGTCGAAATTTTCGGAGCCCTCCACTACGGCGTCTCTCATAATCATATGGTGGTTTTGGGACGTTAAACCCCGCATATCAATCAATCATTAGCTGCCATTTTAAACTCGAATGCAGTTCTTAGTCGGGCTGTGCAAGGTGTCCGTCAGGATCCGTCCACCACCCTCTCCCGTAGCAACAGCTGTGGGCGCGCGGGCTTATCCTCGCCCCTTGCAACCAGGGTCCTCACCTCATTGACTTGAACATGACTTGCCACCGCCTCAATGCATGGCGTTGGAAACGCGTTTGTAGCGTTTGTGTTGTGTTCGCTGACATTATGGCCGTCAGGTACAATGATGCAGTGCATCGTCTCTCGTTCTCTCGCCGTTCGCTATCTCTCCTCCCTGCGCCCCACTCTTTTGTCTGATGGAGTTAAGCACGCCCCCCCCCCCCCCCTTTCGACCATTCGCTGGCTTATGAATGTGTAAATAAATGGTTACGGTACAAATCCTCGTCTCGTCAATAATTTACGCCATTAAAATTACTATGTTGTGCACTCGCGGAGCAAGAAATGCCTTCGCATTTCCTCACGATTCCCTTTGAAGAGGGAAGGGGGAATATTTTTTTTTTCTTTGCCGCGTTTGTTTTCGCAGTCATACTTCTCGGCGGCTGATCGTGAGTGCATGGCCGTGGCGCAAGCTTCGAAAGTTTTGTGTTAGGTGACACTGCAGTCCCGTGTTCGTAAGTAACTCTTGATGTATACCATGCAAAAGTGTGTCACAGTTTTATGTGCTAAGGTAATCGAGAGCTGCGAATGCTAGGTGGCGACAGTTGCACCCGGCGGCTTCTCCTTTTAAGAGCTCTCTCAAACCGAAACTGAAACTGGTCAATAATGAAGGGCTGGTGAATAATTATCTGTCGCGTGTTGAAGCAAACGATGGGTCGTGGAATGACTAACAGGTCCCCAGCAACACGTTGCAGTAGAAAGCACCGCCGCGGGGGTCTAGTGGCTAAAGTTCTCGGCTGCTGACGCGCAAGTCACAGGTTTCAATCCCAGCTGCGGCGGCTGCATTTTCGATAAAAGTGAAAATGCTGTAGGCTCATTTACTCACATTTGGGTGCATGTTAAAGAACACATGGCGGTCAAAACTTCTGGAGCCCTTCATTACGGCATCTCTTATAATCATGCGGTGTTTTTATGATGTTAAACCCCACATATCAATCAATTAAGTCACATGGCAGCAGACCAATGCGAGGCCAAAATTTTTGTGTCAGTACCCCTTTAAGCAACAACCAATTTGTTAAGCTTTCGTCACGAAACAAACATCCTTTCTATCGCCTGTAATTCCACCATCTCTCATGTCATAGGCCATCATACATAAAGCCTCCTATCTCTCAATAGATCAACAAAGGTAGAGAGATGTCCTCACCCGGTGCCGCGTTTGCAAGACCCTTGGTTAGACGGCGCTCCCAGGAACTGCAGACGAACGCGTGGAAATCATCGCATGGGTCGATGGACATGTTGAGCGCGGTGAGCAGCACCTGTGCATGGTGTAGGCATCCCTCGCTGGTGCATCTGGCGAATGGCTCGCGCCTGATTCGCTTCTTCACAAACAGCGCGAGCAGGAACAGCGTCCCGAAGAGCAGCGCGAAGCACAGCAGCTGCACTAAGCCCACACGTGGGGACTTGTGGGTGCGAGGGGCTCTCTCCAGCACTTCTTCCACTCGGCCCTCGTTTTCGCCTTCGACCTGATCACAGAAATTCCCTTTTGAGTCATAGGTGTGAAAGCCAGAGACTGTTTACACTGATCCCCAGCTGAATGAATCAGTGTTTATTCTATAAACCTCGAACCGCGCTTGTGCGAAAGCAGTCATTGACCTACAGTATTATTGGGTTGAATTTTTATTTATTTTAAGACAAAATTGCTTTACGCCGGGGTCCACCACGGCTCCCCTGACGTATTTCTGTTACGGATATGACATCATAAAATATATAATTGCAGATTGCATAGACAAAACAGAGAAGAAAAAGTTTCACATCGTGGCGTCGAACCAGTGACCTCGCGCTCCTCAACGAGCGACGCTTACCACTACGCCACAAAACGAACGTTTATAAACTAGTGAACGGCGAGTCAACTCTATACCTAATGTTCCACTGGCGGCCCTCATACCTCAGCAACTTCAGCGCGTTTTCGCCATCAGTAGCGACATGGCGCCACAGGCAGGCGGTGGGCGCCTGCGCTCTACCATCCCGCGCGCAGCTAAGCGCGCGCACCTCCGCATGGTGAGATCAAAGGGCGTGTAGATGTTGTTTAGCGTGATGGGTCACTCGCACGAGCACTTCTCTCGGGATTCGGGCACTTTGTACCTCTTGTGTTTTCACCAGAGCTCTGCTTTGAAGTTAAGTGGTTAACTAAAGCGCGAACGTCACTTCGCATGCTGCCGCGGCCGCGTTTGCGAAAGGAGCGCGCCGCTCACACATACGATGAAGTAAAATTGTGACAGTTGTTCGCGCTCGCCCTGTGTATACCTGTGCGTTCGTTTCGTGAATACTTCTTTCTGTTCAAGCAGTATGCTTTCCGTGCTCAGCTGGGACAGTTGTTTGTCCGTACTCGTCCTGTGTTTGTTCCTTTCGTGTGTGCTCTCTGCTTGTGGTGCGCGCTGAAAATTTTGAGCTGCTTGCCCTTCTTCGCGTGACGTTACAAGTTGTTGCTGTCAAATTCATTTCTACGCCATTGTGGCGAAAACATCGCACAACGAACGCTCAACTACCTCTGCGAGGACACGTACCACTTTCGTGTTATACCGATTCCACGAAAGAGGAATCAGCCACTTTTTAATTGATTAATACCACAAAGGACCCGTAATAGGCAAAGGGTGAGGGGGTAAGGCACACAGTACTTCTATACACGTATTGAAGATTAGCACAGAGTGAAAACAGGAAAAAAGAACTAATTACCCTCAAATACAGCTTCTCGAATAAAACAACAGGGAAAAATAAATAACGGTTACATATCCAAATGAAAAGAAAGTTGCCTGACATAACATTAAATATTGTGTAGTGAAAAAATATTACGAATAACAGATCCAATAAATATTAAAACACAGCCACATTACTATTTCGTCATTCTACATTATGTACCAAAAACAAAAGCGCGCGAGAGTGATATGTAAGAACCGTCATAATAAGATTGAATAGCAACCTTGCATAAGCTTATCACAAGAATAACATATAGATACATACAAAAAGTAAAGAATACTAAGTGCAATGTGTGGAAAAATGTTGAATTGAAGGCAAAAAGTATCTTGGTTTTTAAATGAAGCAATGTTGCACAGTAAGCTGTTCCAGAGACGAGTAGCACGCGGTACTAGGGAAAAATTAAATGATCGCGTCACACCGTATACGTGGTCTTAATTCGAAGTGTTGTGCAATTTCCGCGATCTGTAGACTGGATGATTCAAACATGGTAGTGGTACGAGTGAGGGATCTCATGAAACAATGACTTCATACTCCTGAAATGGCGCCACATAGTAAGACGAAAACACAAGAAAAGACCACGAAACGCAAGCGTCAGCTCTCTGAAATTTTCTCGACATGCGCAAAACAAATTATGCCCACACATGTTTTGTGCTTGTCTATTAAATTTCACTAGAGAATCAGCGCTTGTGTTTCGTGCTGCTTTCGTTTTACTTTGTGGCGCCGTTTCAGTAGTATGAAGGCATACCAACTTACCCAGTTGTCAATCATTCTAAGAAAAAATGACTGCAATGGAATATTACGGCGGCTACCAAACGGCGGCAATGATAGTTTTGTTTTGATCTGCGCGATACTAGACAGGGCCCTGTAGTTGTGAGCAATGAAATGGCTCGCCCTATTTGGAATGATTTGGATTGCTGTGATAAGGTATTTCTGATGTGGTGACCAAATGGAAGACGCATACTCCTGCTGCGGTCGTACAAACACTAAAATTTGATAGTACATTTCGATACTCTAGTTAATGATGGTCTGTTATTCACAATTATAATGACACCAAACAACGTTGCCAAGGAAATTATAGGGTATTTTATTAGTAGTAATTGTTATGTAAATATAACGAAAGAAAAGTGGACGAATAGATAAATCGGGCAGGGACTGAATTTGCGACCTTCGAATAACGCATCCGATGCCCTACCACCTGAGCTACCATAATGGCCTTTTACCTTGTCCGCATAATGGGATATATATCTGCATTTTAACGTGGGTGTGTCAGTCAGCGCCCTCAGTAGCCATGATGGTGAGTGGATGAGGGGACAGTAGACGGGAGAATAGCCAACGTGGTAGCTCAGTAGTAGAGCGTCGGACGCCTCATTCGGACTTCACAGGATCGGTCCCTGCCCTGCCCCGCCGCGAAGGTCATGGTTAACGTACTCGGCTGCTGACCCGCAGGTGCGAGATTGAATCCCGCCTGCGGTGGCTGCATTTTCGATGGAGGCGAACATTCTAGGCCCGTGTGCTCAGATTTTGGTGTACGTTAAAGAACCCCAGGTGGTCGAAATTTCGGGAGCCCTCCACTACGGCGTCTCCCATAATTATGTGGCGGTTTTTGGGACAATAAATTCCACACATATATTTATCTATCGGTCCCTGCCCAAGGCAAGTTATTCTTTCATCCACTTTCTTCACATTTGTATTATATTTAATACTAACAACTTCTAAAACTTCCGTAGCAATGTTGTTTGTTATTTCTCATTAATATGGTTTGTGACAAAAACAAGCACATAAAGTTTCCATTACTTTCCTTCAAAGTGTTCTTGTTGTTTACGTTATCGTTTTTCGGACTCATGATCTTGTTGTAGTACATTGATTATAAGGCATTATAGAGATAAACCTATTCAAGTTGTCTCTGCGATATCCGCTGGTTTAAAAAGTCATAGCTTCGCCGCAAGGGCGAACCAATGAACACGACTGCAAGAAATTGGAAGGTCACGCACAAAATGGCAAGCAGGTCAAAATATGCCCCATGTTTTTTACGCACAATTGACGCATGAAGCGTACTCAAAGATACACATGAACGCGAATAAGTGTCTCAGTTGTTAGTTCGCTGTGTTTGAAAAGCACGCCATTTTCGTAAACGGAGACTGTGCAACGATTGCAGTGACCTCTGTGTGCCAGGTAACTACAACAGAATTGTCCCAGTTAAAGCCCAAGGCCAGCCAAGACAAACGATCTTCCCCACCACTAGGTAAGGGCGCGCGAGTGAGCGTCCTTCCTCCTTCTCTCCGCGGGGCAAAGTACGCGTGGAAGATGAGAGAGCGCGCCGCCGCGTCATGACGATGTGGCGACGCGCGCTCGTTGCACTGAAAACACAATAGTTCCCCCCTAGATGCCCGTCACCGGCAGTAAGTGGAAGATATAAATAGCTCGCTGTTTGACCGTTGAAAGAGCTTCTCCTGCGTAGCTCAGTGGTTAACGCCTTGCACTCACGATTCAGAGGTCCCAAGTTTGATTCCGTGCGCCGGATTCTTTTTCTGGATGATTTTCCTTTCTTGCGTTTACCTATATATAGACACGTATACATATACGAAGAGCGACGCCAGCGGCAAAATCTAGCTGAGAGTTTTCATATATTTCCTATCGCAATAAAATGATCTGAAACGTTTTCACTACCACAGTCGGACTGGAGAGACGCGTGGGTACGCCCTCGCATTTTCATTCTGGCGGTGTCCCTACACATATTTACAGTTAAACAACTACGAAAATGAATGGCCAAGGAGCATACGTGTACTCACACTTCTTTTCGACAATCTGCTGACGTCGACGTCGGTGCCTTTCTTCTTGCGAGCACCGTCAAACGAAGCGCCCAATCGCTTGCTGAGGTCGCTCGCATCCAATTTGCCTGATATGACCTGAAAGGAGAAGAGACAAGATTTTAGCAGCCATATGTCACTACACCAAAAAGCCATGTAGTAACGTTGCTTGCTTGTCCACCACATGCGTCACACCACATGAATCATCACTACCAGAGTCCTTCCTGCTACTCATGCAACCATGCAAACCATGAGAGTGAATGTTAATCAGCGCAAGTCCCTCGAGTGGAACCACCTGTCGGGGGATATTCTGGCCGTTTATAAGAAAAAAAAATAGGTTTGCGAATATTTAACTAAATCATTACAATAGTGAGAAATATTTCTGTCACTCAGTTTCTTATTTTTTTTTTCGTTAAAGTGTACCGTGGCGTTTTTATTATCTCTACCTTGTGTAATGCCACACCCTGGATATTAAACAAATAAGCCCGACAGACAGACAGATCTTGAATATTTGATTGATTGATTGATTGATTGATTGATTGATATGTGCGGTTTAACGTCCCGAAACCACCATATGCGAGACGCCGTAGTGGCGGGCTCCGGAAATTTCGACCGCCTGGGGTTCTTTAACGTGTGCCCAAATATGATAACACGGGCCTACGACATTCCCGCCTCCATCAGAAATGCAGCCACCGCAGCCGGGATTCGATCCCGCGACCTACAGGTCAGCAGCCGAGTACCTTAGCCACTGGACTACCGCGGCGGGGCAGATTTTAAATATTTACCGAAGGCGACAATCAGATGAGGTTTTACAGCAAATTTGGCGCTTATGAGATGTCGTAATCATGCCTCAGTCTCAAGCCATGGCTGCTTACCTTGGAGCTGCTGTCCAGGCTTCCTTCCTCTCCTTGGCGGCGGCTTCGGCGACGACGCCTGGACTTTTTGTCCTTTTTCTTGCGCTCGCGGGTCTTGGTGTGCGTGGATCGCGGCGTACCCCCCGACGTCGACGGACCGGCAGGTTCTTCGCCTCCGACTGTCGACATGCTTGTCTTGCCGTTGGCGTAAAACGGCAAGACAGTTGCAGTGGTGATGTGTCTGAGGAACGAAGCTTGCGTCTCGAAAAAGCAGCGCGTAGGCCAGGATTTTGTAGGATCAGAAGTGGAATGCTGCTGCACGAGCTGGGTGGGTTCTTCTTCTTCCTACACTTCTATTGGATAGTCGGCTCGTTTATTGGGAAGCGACCCAAGCAGTTGCAAGGTACGTTTGTTTCCTTTTAAGGCCTTTCATGCATCACCGAAATTTGACCATTGGCGCTGGCGTTCTGCGGTGTCGGGGATGAATGATGCAAAAAATGATCACGTTACGTCGCCGCCATGTAACGGCTGATGGCCTCAGTAATCACCTAAATTTGCGTCGCAATTACGACGCCCCTGTGACGTCACAAGACACGTCACATGATGACGTCTTCACATGACACCATATTGTGTTCTAAGGTAGTGTGATCACGGAGGCAATGCAAGACCATGTTAGGTTGCTCAGATCTTGGCGGCAGAAAGCTTTAGCATGGTGTCTGAGCAGGATCGATGCCTCCAAAGCCGTATGTAAATATAGTCTGGTGAATGGATGGGACAGTGACATCGCGGTGGGGTGATGACGCTTACCACGTCTTTATCGCACTGAAGGAACGCACCGTTTAAGTACTGTTCGCCAAATTTACGCTACCTGCTAGGTGGCTGCCCAGCCAAGCTTGCTTACGTTCTGTTCGGGCGTGAACTGTCGTGCCACTAAATAAATTTAGAAGGCCAGATAGCAAAGGAAGACTGTTCTTCAACTTTAATGACGAGTATTGTTGTCAATGGCTCTCGCTGGCGACATGATGTTCACGAGAAGTGGACTGGAGTCGAGACACCTTGATCCTTCCCAGAAACGGGCTTACCGCGGCGGGAAACATGCCACAAAAGGAAGGGAATCTTGTGAGCTGCATTGTGCGAAAGCGCCGACTGCCACCCAGGATGAGCATGCCTCTTATTGGCAGGTTGTGCTTCTCTCACTAGTAATAGTAACGCTGAATAAGCTTCGTGCATCGTTTCAGCAAGGAAGAGCGTAGATGTAACCAGTAAGCTGCAATCAACGCATTTCATTCACCGGTAATCATCTCAGACTGCTCAAAACGAAGCACCGCTATGTTCATCGTGTACGCACCGCCGACCGTGGACACTCACACTACCGCAGCGATGATGCCGCCACCTATAGCCCGACATTTCGACCAATAGACAGCTTCTGCATTTCACAGTGGACCAGAAGTGAGCAGTGGGGCTTGCCCGAATTCTGTGGCGCATTTTAACTGGGTACTTCAAAAGACGTTCCAAAGGGAATGATGTCGACTATAAGCATAGTCCTGTTACGCTGGAGCAAATCTAAAAACGTGTATCCTGTCTCGTGGCTAGTAAGAATGCTATGAAGCCTCTCATGACCACGTTATTACTGCTGATGTCAAGCGAAGGACCTAACACTACCCTATTTATTAAAGGGACACTAAGCGCAACGAACAAGTTCACGTCAGAGTGAAAGATCAATGTTTCAGAACATACAAAACGTCAGTATTATCAACAGCAGTGCTCTACTAATCTAAAAATCAGGGTAAACAGACGAAAACACGTGCGCCACGAGTGGGACATTTCGAAAGTATAGTAATACCATCAAAGCGTATGACCACAATTCATCACTGGTAATCAAACCAGGTGCAGTTAAAAATCTAACCATGCGTAGCATTGCAACAGGAAATGAAATACTGCTTGTCCGTTTCTGATTGATCTATTGAAAAAAAGAGAACCACCTGGCGTTATACGTGGAATTATGCGAGTTGTACAAAAGTTCCGTTGTCGCAGAGTTAGGCTGGATAGGTGATGCCAACTGATGAAGCCCAGCTGAACCAAACAAGCAGAAGTTTGTCAGCTACCATTGTTGCTGCTGTGGCTCCCACTACTTTCACTCGGGAAAGGCGGGCAACGTTGGGCAAGACAATTTATACGTCAGGTGGTCTATTTTCAGGCGCTTGATTTTAAGTGCGCTAAAGCGGTGCGGGCCTCTAAAACTTGATTTTATTTCAAAATAAGCATTTCTTAGGCACGAAGTTAGCACTGCGAGCTGTCTGGACTGCTATTTCGGCAGTCAACGTGGACTTGATAGTTACCTTAAGGGTCCCTTTGATGGAATACTGATATTCGGTCAGATTGAAGAGATCAGTTTTTAGCGTTCACAAGGGATATTCTCATCCCCATACCTGACCATCGTCATTCAACACACTTCCTGTTCCCTGCCCGCTCCTCCACAGAGTAGAGCAGCAGGCCAGAGCAAACTGCCACTCAGATCAACCTCTCTGCCTTTCTGTAAATAAACTCTCTCTCTCTCCCTCTCGACTCTGAACAGCTCCGCTGTTAAAACCAGGCAATGCCACTCACATCCAGTCCGCTGAAATATCAAATAGTGTGTATAATTAGCCTAGCAAATGTGTGTAACTCTGCTCCTCTAACTAGCCCATAATTATAACTAGTGTAAAAATAGACTAGCAAGTACTTAACCCTAAAATCTGGCAAGCACCACTACGTAGACCCTATTCACCAAAACTGAAGAGCTATATACCTAGCCTTGCGGACTTGCGGAAAGCAGCTCTCAGAACTAGTCTATAGTTGCCACCCATCTATAATTAGTCCAGCAGGTGTGTCACCCAGAATTCGGGCAAGCACCACTGCTCACATCCAGTTTACTAAAAATGTTTTCATTTTTAGGGGCGAAGCTCCTTATGGCGTGGCTTGAGCGTCCCTCGTAGTACGTAACCACCAGTGGCACATACCCGAAATAGGTATAACATTTGACCTCCAAGGTGGTGCCGGTGAGAAATTTCTTCTGTGCGTTGTTGAACAATAAAAGATAGTGCTCAATGTACATGCCAATGGCTGCTAATGGGGAATGAGAGACAGGAGCATTCGGCTTTTAGTCAACGCGCACGCTGCGATCCCCATTAGCAGCCATTGGCATGCACATTGAGCACTATCGGACAAGAAAGGGTTGCTACATTATACTCGCTGGGTGTAACCTCCTTAGTTTTAGAAAGGTTTAACGAGCGTTGAGCCGCAGGGCCATGAATACACTGAACTACTATATACCATGAATGAATTCGAGGTGGTTAAAGGGGGGGAAGCAGATACGAAGCGCAAGCCGTAAGAAATTAAAAGCTGAATCCTCCTGTCTCTCATTTCAGATTAGCAGCCACTTGCATGTACATTGAGCACTATCTGACAGGAAAAGTTTGCTACGTTATACTCGCTGGGCGTAACCTCCTTGGTTTTAGAAAGGTTTAGCGAGCATTGGGCCGCAGTGCCATGAATACAGTGAACTAGTATATACCATGAGCTCAAGGTGGTTGAAGGTGGGAAGTAGACCCGAAGCGCAAGCCGTAAGAAAGTGTGCGTGTGCCACCTCTCGTTTAGTCCTTGGAATGTCCACTGAATGGCGGTGCTTCTATATGGGGAATATATGATAAAAAGATGCGAGATGGTGGGACTTGGAGTGTTGGATAGATGGACGAACGGACACACAGACAGATGCATGGATGGACGCATGAACGGACGCAGGGGTGAATGCATGAACGAACGCAGGGACGGGCGCACGAACAGACGCATGGACGGTCACACAGACGGACGCATGGACGGACTAATGTTTCGCCCCACTTTCCATCATTCACTCCATGGATATGCTGCCATTTTTTAGTGTTTTTATTCGTCTTAATTTTCTTTAGTGTTCTCTTACTTTTTATTTCTATCGCAATCTTACTCTCTCTCTCTCTTTTTGTCTAGTTTCGCTCTTTCTTTCAATATCTCATTCTCTTTTTCTTTCCATCCCTCTTTCTCTTTCTGTCTTCACGCCTTCGTTTCTGTTTGGCACTCACACCTGATGCCTGTAGCACATATTCACCTCTAGAGTTTTCTGGTGACACCGCACAAACTTCAGCGAACCACAAAAGCCTCACTGTTAATAAAAGAGTTTTATAAGAATTTGCACTTGCTTTGATCGCCAAAACTCCCGAAACACCTCTCTCAGCCGTCCTTCAGACAGTTAAACCAGCTTCACTGATTTAACGTCGCAAGATCTTATCCGACAGCGCGGCTAAGGGCACTTAAATGCAAATAAACTTTTACAGTGAATGAAAGAAAAGCCTAGCAAGTGAAAATAAATATAAAATAAAGATATCAAGCAATGTAAGCCAGTGCTGACAGTAACGCATTAGAAGTATCGCCGTTATTGATAAAGCGTTAATTTTTTTTCGGTAACAGAACATAGTCGTTACAATTTCTTAACTGTGTAAGAGGCCGACAGCTGCCCAGAACATGAAGTGAGACGCATGCACGGATGGAAAGATGGTCCCTCATAGTGGCTAAAACCATTTATCGGGAAAGGTGGACCTATATTTTCATTTATTCATTGAAAATATTGAAAATAGCTTGTGGCGCCACCTGGGGGCAGGAGCCTCAGTTAAATGAAGAACCCTGTCATGGGACCATAAACTAGTGTACTGGTCAACCTGACTACTAGGCCACGCATGTTGCTGACAAACAACATCAGAGCTTGAAACTGCCTCAAGCTGTCACTTCGCAGAGCCAAAACCGGCTGCTCGCGTGCTCTATACAGACGTGGCCGAGGCTGTACATAGCACAACACTTACGCATTCAACGATGGTCACAGGATATCAAATTTTATGAATACTACGTATTTTTTTCACATGGTCATAACGTTGATTAAGGCACCAGAATGTATTTTCAAGATGAAACTTTATTTCGCCGACCTTGTGCCCGGTAAATGGGAAGTCAAATTAGAGCAAAACACACTGCCACTGATAACGGTGAACGAAGCGTCGGCCGTCGATAACTGATCACCGTTGGCATGCGCCTCCACTTACACATGAGGCGTCAAACTTTCCAGTCTTATCAACGGTGGTTGCACAAACCTTGAATGCTTGCGTCTCGCGCACATTCTTATTAAAATGATCTACTAAATGTGGGAAGCTTCTCGAACACTCTACGCAGAGTACTGCTCACAGTCATTGTTGGCGTAAAACAGGTACAGTTAACCCGATACAAACGCGCATGGCTATATATGGCGCTGTAACAGCAGCTTAACGTCAATAGTAGTTGGGTGCCATCCGCGGACGTTGATTGATATGGAGGATTTAAGGTCACAAAACTACCGTGTGATTATGAGAGACGCCGTAGTGGAGGGTTCCAGAAATTTCGACCACCTAGGGTTCGTTGACGTGCACCCAAATCTGAGCACACGGGCCCACAGCATTTTCGCCTCCATCGAAAATGCAGCCGCCGCAGCCGGGATTTGATCCCGCGACCTGCGGGTCAGCAGCCGAGTATTCGCTGAAGTTGATTCAAATAGCAGTGGCCGGCACTACGATCCCTGTGAGCACCAGTTTTTCATATCATCTTACCACTTCTGGTGTTGTTAATATCCACGTTGCTATTGACATCGTTACGCCCTTAAGCAACTGGTTATATGAAGCATGCGACTGTTTAATGTATTGCTGTTCGTGGATTTGTACATATCTTTAGCGCCACTCCGTAATTTGTCGCTCAATAAAAAAATTACAATACAGTCACGTTCCATCTGCATGCTTCAAATAACGTCGATTCACAAGGTACGTGGGATATGCCGAATTATCAGTTTACGGAATGAAATCTTCTCAACTCTTTTCTTTTAAAGAAGTATATTCAGTGCATGATCACAAAAGGACGCTCATTGTGTTGTTGTGAGTCCGCAAAGTTTTGACCGAACAGAATCAACTGCATTTTTTTAATCTGAAATAAACATTCATTCATTCATTCATTCATTCATATATTTTCTGTACGTCTTTTTCATTCAGCCTGCGGAAGGAGGCTAAAGTCCATCGGCTGATGTTTAGTCAAGCAACAGGTTCTATGTTCACATAAATTCGACCTTTGACGATCGTTTTTTTTTTTCAATTCACGCATATTTGTTTACAATGTACTGGTGGGTTAAAGATGTCTCCTTGTCTTGTGGTCTCAAAAATATCACTTTGCGCATGCGTATCGTGTATTGCCGTCTAGAAGGAGACTTCAGGCTTTGATTCTCGTACGCGGAACAAACTATGCATACTAACAACAGTGCAGACGCGCTAGCGATTTCCGCGCCGGCTGTAGATACAGGAGCTGCAGACACGGCATGTTCCCACACAGTATACAAAACGCTTCAGGCTATGTTTTATTTGTTTACGTGTCATTTCTTGACTATTTAATGCCTGAATAATGAAACTGTTAAATAAAAGAAAAAAATGTTTCTATTTTACAGCTTTAAATAGCCACCTTTGAATGATTCCACCGTTAAATTATCTAAAATGCACCCTTAATGCATACCTTTATGTATACATGTCGTGAATTGTGCACATGCCACAGAAACGGGGACCTTCCAATGAAAACCGTACTTCAGAATTAAGCAACATGTCGTCTGCCACATCTTGAGCGCGTAGACAGCAAATAAACGTATTCATTGAAGATAAAACTTGCGTCAGCCAGGCGAGAATGAACGAAGTGGGCGCTCTTGCACCGCTTCGCCCTCTCCGCCATCAGATACAAAAGAATTGGTTCTAGCGTAAAATGCATCGAACAAGAAAGCACTAGATTTTTCATGCTGAAAGCTACGTTCCTCGTGAGCACCTGACAGCGGGAATCAAAGGCAACATGGATTCTGTGACTTGCTTGCTCGATGTTTTTAGGAATGTCACGGATTTGCGATACCAGGCAGTTAAGGGTCAAGCACTGTTTATTATTCGTATAATGGGCCTAATTGTTTTTGTTTGTTTCTTCATGCTTTCTTCACAGGAAATGTTGTAGACACGTGTGTTCAGATTTGGGTGCACATTAAAGAACCCCAGGTGGTCGAAATTTCCGGAACCCTCCGCTGCGGCGTCTCTCAGAATCATATGGTAATTTTGGGACGTTAAGCCCCACACATCAATCAATCAACGCTTTCTTCAAGTCCTACGGCCACCTACTTATTCACTAGCTACCTATTCATGCCACTTCTTCGGTGAACTATATACTTAACGAGCTTTGTTGGTGCTGCTATTGGGGAAAAAAAACTGCTCAGAAAATCTGCGCTATGAGTTGTATGTCGTACCAAAAAGGCCAGAAGTCAGCCGTGCTAAGTGCAACAAACTTACTAACACATACCAAAATTATTTCAACGCATAGCGTGTTCAGTAGGCTATACGTCCAGTTTCAAGCGCTGTTCAGTCCATTTCTAATAACCCTGTCACTCAACTCACCAACGCTGACCGTAATAGCGTTCGTGTAGCTTTTTTTCTAAATACCACCAATCGTTTCTTGTGGGTTCTTGTTAGTTGTATTGAAGGTTGATTGCTTGATTTTTTTAATGTGGAATTTTACGTCCCAAAAAAGTATGGTACGATTTATGAGGGAAGGTAATTATTTAGTCATAAATATACATATTTAGGTAATATATTTCAATAACATTTACCTAAATAATTGATTAGCTGAATAATTGATTGATTAGTTAATAACTGGTAAATTACTTAAATAATTGATTGATTGATTGATTGATTGATTGATTGATTGATTGATTGATTGATTGATTGATTGATTGATTGATTGAAAACGCATCTCATGTATCGCCAGTCTGTCTTTCGTATAAATACTGATACCAATGCCACCGAGACGCAGAGCGACCTTACCCCTACGGCACCGTTGACGAACTGCAGCGCCTACTGTCCACAGTGAGTGCCTCCGGCCGTCTGCACTCTCCTCCGCTATGGCTCGCAGGAATGCCAGTAGATGCCGTCCCTTCCGCAGTGCGCACCTATTTTAATCCGCTCACGGCCGTTGCGCGAGCCCCTGGTGTTTCCTTTCGCTCGTACACGGCTGTGCGAGCAGCAATCATCTACACGTACAGGTGACAGTGAAGCAGCAGCGTGCATTATTTACGGAACACTTTGACGTCGCATTGGATCAACCCTAACGGGACAGGTTAGTCACTTCATAACGATATATTTGCTCTGTATACGCGCTTGAGTGCAGCGCAAACTTCGCCGCATGCCGCGCTCATTCGTGTTTGTGGAGGTGCTGAGCGCGCATGTGCCTTATTTTATGTGTGTACACACATATGCGTTCTCCAGAGGGACGTTCCTGATTGATTGGTACACAGTAAAAAATTTTTACCCCAAAAAAGGCGTAAAAAGGATGCTTTTACGTTAGAGCAGTTTTTGCAACACCCTTTAACAACCATAAATGGTCGATTAAAAAAAAGCATCTCTGTATTTGGGTGCGTGCCTCGACAGCACCCTAAACTAGGATCTTAGGGTGCTTTTCTGCCTGACAAGGGTGTAGGTGACGATGGATCAGATGAAATATGCAGCAATAGAAGAACACAGAGTTACGGTATCTGGGGTTCTACATTCCAAAAAAAACCACAATATGATTATGAAGGCCACCGTAGTGGAGAACTCCAGAGATTTTGACCATTTGGTGTTATTTAACGGGCGCTGACATCGTACTCTGCATGGGCTTCTACCATTTCGCCTGGGTTTTAATGCGACCACAACGAGCCGCATCGAACCCGTGACCTTCAGGTTAGCGGCCGAGTGGCGTAGCTATACTGTATACAAATATGTGGACTTTACATTATATGACGGCCTATTTGACTTATATGTGTGAAGGTGCTCTCCGAAGACAGCGAATACCAGCAGAAGCAAATCGCGGTTCATATATGTAATGGCAATTTACTGCAATCTATGTTACGAAAGCTTTCCTTAGCATTGGTTATAAGCTACATGTTATATGCACATATATGTGGGGCTTAACGTCCCTGAGGCACATTCCTACTTACTGAATAGCGTGTGGTACTTTTACAGTGAATCTAGGAGCTCATAGATTGTAACCAAGTAGGCCCGTCATGGATATTTTTTTTTTCAATAGCAGTGTTTCACAAGTTTTTTTTCTCTCATTTTCGGAACATTCTTGGAAGCATCTCGGCACGCACACTGTGGACGGGAAAACGAAAGTCGAGAAAACAAACAAGCGCGAAACAAGCGTTTGTCTTCTCGTCTTTCATTTTCCCGAGCACTGTGTGCGCGCAAAAATGTTACCAAGAATGTCTTCAAACCAACTCGCCCAACTTTCCCTTCTACTAGGTTAGTTTTCAGGATTTACAGTACGCGCTCAATTCCAGGCTCAGTAAGATTACATGATTCCTTGCTTTATTCGCTATAGAATATATGATGTTCTTTTATTTTCAGAAAATTTCATAGCCAACAGCAATAATAGCCCCCTCGGCATTATTGCGTCGCAACGAGTTCACTCTGTCAAACAAGGCTTAGAAAAATATTTCTGTTTAATCTCATTGTGATGGTGTCAACGTAATATATCTCTTTCTTAGCTCTTCGTATAACTATTTCTCTCTCTCCTTCTCTCTCAAGCATTCCATTGCACCGAATTTAGACCTTGAATAACGAACAGAATAACAAATTATACAGGTCATATACAATAGGTTGACGAAACTTAAGTGAATTAAGTTCCGCAGAAAAACTTGCATTCGATTTTTTTTATCTGGATGTTGAATTGTACAGCAGTTCATGATTAAACTGACATGATTATTATTGTTGTTTCGTTTGGATACTCAAAAACCCCGCACCTCCCCAATGATGTTATGCGGAGCAAAGTAGACACGATGAATATAGTCGCGAGCAAATGCGTACAACGCTGCTGCAGTCCGAGCACGTTCCCCTCAGCACTTCGTCGTCGTCATCCTCAGGCATCTACTTAGCCCGTGACAATAAGAAGACAGGTAATAGGAAGAGAACAAGCTGGCAAAGGCTACTTAAATGATCACAACGTCGGGCAACGTTTTTGAGAAGAGAAAACATAGGGGGAATTAAGGGGAAAAAACAGGAATGATGAAAGCAAACAAAAAACACAGAAGCAGACATGCCAAGATTGATGACAAAGTTAATTCAAGCACTCCGTAAACAACTCTCTCGCTGACAAACGGTGGTCTCCAACGTCGCAATCTACTCTGCAAAAATAGAAAGTGAAGGCAAGAGTGAAAACACGGCATGACAACCATTTGTAATTTTCTCTTAGCGCTGGCCTCTTTATTCCTTACCACATGTACGCGCTGCAGCGCGTCAGCACGTAGCGTGGATGCTCGGGCGCCGTGCCCTCTCCTTGGTCTAGCAAGTGTAGCTTTACGAAACTGTGCGTGCCCCTGAAGCTACATGAAGCAGGGCGGCTTCTATACGTCTTGGTTCAAAACGTTCTTAGCACCAGCTATAGGTCAATGTAAAACTTCCTTTAAATACGAATCTCATCCCCAAACATTCAACTCATGCATGTTCTTGTCTTACAGGTTTAAAGGGGTCTCCAACTTCGTCTCCCCTCAAGTTTCAGAAAGTTGCAAAGCAGCTTCCATCATGTCCGTAGACGTGAGGTACCCCAGGGGACCCCTGTACCGAGACATCGACGGTTTCAGGTTGAACGCCTACGTTCCCGTCGACCTCTATCGTTCCGCGTTGAAGTACAAGCCCCGGTCGGACGACGTCTTCATCGTCACGTTTCCCAAGAGTGGGACGCTGTGGATGCAACAGATCGGATACCTCATATTTCACGACGGATCACCCGCTCCGGATGGCCTAGAATTCTACAAAACCACGCCCTTTTTGGAGATGTTCGGTGCCGAAGACGTGGTGAAGATGAAGCGTCCTGGTCTCATCAAGACGCACCTCCCCTACGATCTAGTACCTAAAAGTCCTTCCGCGAAGTACGTGTACGTGTGCAGAAACCCGAAGGACGTCTGCGTATCCTTCTTCTACCACACAAAAGGTTTCGTGGCATACGACTTCGCCGACGGCAGTTTCGAAGACTACTTTGACGTGTTCACGCAGGGCGCTAACGATTTCGGAGACTACTTCGACCATGTACTCTCCTGGTACGCCCATCGCAACGACCCGAACGTGCTCTTTCTGCGCTACGAGGACATCAAGGCTGACCCGAGGAGCCAAGTGCTAAAGTTCGCCGCTTTCCTGGGCGAAGAGTACCGCAAAAAACTCGAACAACCGGCGACACTGGACCGTGTTATCGAGTTCAGTGGGATAGATTTTATGAGATCCAAGACTGGTGCCGACATAAAGGCGTTCCTCACTAAGCCACTCGAGAACGACGAGGACGTGTGTCCCGGTCTGAAGCAGTTTCACTATTTGGCCAGAAAGTATCCCAAAACAGTCGGGTTTATCCGGAAAGGGCAGGTCGGAGACTGGAAGGAACACTTTACGCCGGAGATGAATGCCATAATGGAGGCCAAGATTTATGAAAGACTCGGCGACACGGATCTCATTGATGTCTGGAAGAGATATGGTGTGTTGTGAGCATCAGAACTTGCTGATTATTCTCGGTTGTCAAGGACTTAGTTTTTTTTACTGTGCACACCAGATGGCTCTCAAAACGAATTCTTTTTATGTATTTATGCAGTGGGACATCTTGCTGGAAAGTTGACAAAAACTCATAGAAGGCACTGCTAGAACTTGAAGACACGCTATATTACTATTTGTTTTGACGCTTTGTTATATTTGAAGAGAAGTTAGTAAAGGAAGAAGTTATAAGGTAATCGTAAAATTAACGTGCATATTAGTGTGCGTTGTTACTGTGGCCACCAAGATGAAGATGTGCGCCATCGCCGTCTTCATCTCGAGGGCTCAATATGTGGAGCACGACAGAGTGTATTCAAAGCAAGCCCATTCATTTTAAATCTATTATACAGCCATTTAACAACGAAGCTCTGTATAGCTTGGATTCCGCCATTTCTTCACAGACATCTACAAAACAAAAAAATCTACAAAACCAAGCGAGAATTTCCTTGGACCTGTACATCCAATAATAAAATATTTTCTTCGGGTATTTTCCATGTTTGTGGAACTGGAACATAAAATGTGTCATATTCCCGACAAAACTGACAGCTTACGCTGTGTACCTCTACCAGATTCAGCGATTGCATTACCTTTCATAATTAAACCAAGAACACATGTGCGCATCCGCTTGAATAAACGTTCTTCATATGTGCCGCCAAGCAAACAACGCATGCAAAACATACTACAGAATTTATATTCAATTTACAGGCCTACATGTATTGATAGTCAACCATCTACATGTATTGGTTGACAAGACTTTTGTTTTCCCTGTAAAGATCATTAGCGACCTAGTTTTCTGCCACACGAGGGAAAATGAAAGTATGCTAACTAAACGGTACATGATAACGCACGTTCGAAAAATGCAAAGTCGTTGTGCTAACCACACACCTTTCTCATACAGAGAAAAAGCCACCTAGCAACTGATTTTGTGTGCGTTGCTATCAGACTTTGTGAAGGCCACACACACTTTTATTGCGCTGCATTCAATTGTGCGACTGCCAATTGTCTCTCACACTTCATTGCGCAATCGTTCAAGGCAACGTCGCAATGGCCTGTCATATCAGTTAATAACCCACCTTCACTAGAGAACACCTCTCAGACAGTAAATAGGAGAAAAATTTTTTCACTGTCTATTTCTTCACACGTGTGCAAGCCCCGCCAAGCACCCCAGCGACACGTGCCCCTCGTGAAAACACACGGCGACACTCGGACACATGCTCTGCAGAGCACAGAAACGCTCATCTACTTCAGACAAGTGGGAGAGGTTCCTTAGAAGCTCACTTTTCGCTGACCAGCAATGGGCCGTCCCGCAGTCCACCAAGCGGCCGCCAGGTACCATAGTTGTCCGTCCCAACGGGGGCAATGCAAGCTACGCGCGAAACGTCCTGCCGGAAAGTTTTTCCATTCCATTCTTCACACACGCCGAGGAGCAGCGAATCAAAAAAAGCTCCACCCAGATTCTATTTCTGGAATCGTACAAGCTATGCACAAGCATACAACTCTAATACAACACAAGCACAGAGCTTTTTCAAAAAAGAAAGTTTTTATTGTAGGGAAGTGCATAGTTGAGGTCTTCTCTAGAACGTTGTTGTCTCGTGGTATCGGAACGACATCTTTTATATTCCTGGCGTTCGCCAACTGTATGTAACAGTTCCGCGGTATAGGCGCAAACTGTGGGCGCTGAGACGTATGTTTGGCCCTAAATTTTCGCGCAGTCATAATTTCCCTTATGTTTTTCTATCTATAGGTCGGCTTTACATCTTGTACTAAAGGGTGCTTTCATTTCACACGGGTGCTTAAAGCTATGTATTTTTATCAGGCGCGTTAGTATAATTTCAATTTTATCAACTCAGTTGCAAATTACTTAGAACAGCTACTTAAACACTTTTTCATGCAATAACGTAAAAAAGAGTGCTATTGAAGCTCGTGCGTAAAACACTCGGCTTCGCAAATTAGGGCCCTGTGTACAAAAAACCACACCTGTCAAGAAGATTCTAAAGGTTTTATGGAATGACAAAGTGATAAAACGGTTCACCTGCCAAATTTGACTTTATGTAATGCAAGAACATGCAAATACAGATATTTTGGGCTAAAAGCCCCGTTAAACCTTTTTTAATTGTCTTTACGAAATTTAACGTGGTGTAACGAACCAGCGTGAATAATTGCATAACCTCTTAGCTCGCAACAGCCATCCTAACTAGAGCACGAATGTTTTACTACGTGAGTATATAATACTTGCTATAAGTGTTTAGTACAGTGTGCAGTGCGTCAAGTTTCACGTATGACCTCTTTGTTTTCCTGTAGCCCCTTGAAGACAAATAGCTTTTAGGCCGTCTCAAGTCGTTCATTGTCTCTGGTGAACCTAAACTGGGAACCTTGGTAGCCTGAATTACCCACACCAAGGACGGAAAACATACTGAAGCAATAATCTTTATGAGCGCCTAAACAAACAAAAGGAAACGAAGTTTATGAGTCATTCGTGCTTATCGTCCTTCCCACCTATCTTTGTGGGACAACGAGAAGACATTTTTCGCTTATCCACAGGATAAGGACGTTCGCATTTTCTCGAGCATGTCAGTTGAAAATGGGACACACCATCAATGTATATCTCGGGTTTATAATCTGGGAACGACACCCTACACAAAAATAAAAGCATGTGTTGGCCGGAGCTTACAATTAAGGACTCTTTAAAACATGTAATATTATTGTCTGAGCTCCTGTCACAGCATGCTTTGGTGCTCGATCTCATCAAAATGATGATTGTGTACATGAAACTTTTTAGTATTTAATATAAGCGGCTCTAGATGTCAGAACCATAATATTATTACGATACACGTAGGGGAGAGGGATGCAGATTTGAAAACAAGTACACTATGAAAATCGTTAAGTATGACTTGTATACCACACTGCGCACATATTGCTGACAGATAAGATACACGACGTATGCACTACTGGCTGACAACTCTCTGCGGCATGGCGTGTTTTTGTTTTGTTTTTTTTTTGGAGGCGTGACTTATTTTTGCCATTTATCAGCACTCTCTGGAAAAATTTTACCTAATACTGAACTAACAATAACTTAGGCATTCGTGTTGCCTGAAATTCCGTTACATCGCATCTAGTTGAAGTATATTGTAACAATACTGATTGTTGGCCTAGTTGGTGCTTGCTTGATGGCATGCTTTGGCCGCAAATAACATAAACACAAAGTAAGGTTGAAGTATTTTGCTATACACGATCGCATTCGCGAGGGCACCACTTTGTTTAATTTCGAGGCGTTGGACACGGGGTTGCTGCGTTTGTTGACATTGGGCCAATTCGGCTACATTTTTAGGCTGGTGGTGTCAGAAAAAAAATGCCTTGACCACTTTCTGGTTACTTCTTTTTTTCTCTAGATTAAAGACAGATTATCAATATCTACGTCGCAGCCACTGGCTTTCGAGTATACGATGTCAGAACATGGCAGCCGAGGCGCGTTTCTACACTTGCCAAAAATGTATTTGGAGCTTGCGACACACAGATGCAATGAAGTATAAGTGGCGAGGATTCGGGGAAAAATGTAGCTTGGGGCCTGAGTTTGCACACCCCTGCTACTCAGCGCAACGTTTGAACAATAAGTGGAAGTGAACAAGAAAAGTGAAAGCATTCCGCATCCGACGCTCTCGGCATTCATTCGCGTTAAAGATCGATTGTTCGACAATCTTCTTGTGTTATTTCTGAAGATTAGGCACAGACTGAGACCTACGAATATTACCCTCTCGGACTTCATCATGCTGTAAGTGATTGCGAAAGGGACTACAACTAACGGTTTAATTCCAGCAACTGTGAGCACACTCATGCCGTGCTTTAATGGACACCAAAGGCAGTCATTTCTGCTGTTTTCCTTTTAATAAAAGGCACACGAGAAAAGTAAAGAAGCTGTCATATTCAAAAAAAACGTCAAAAATTTATTGATATGTGGGGTTTAACGTCCCAAAACCACCATATCATTATGAGCGACGCCGTACAGGAAGACTCTGCAAATTTCGACCACCTGGGGTTCTTTAACGTGCACCAAAATTTGAGCACACGGGCCTACAAACCTAAAAAATTTCGTCATGCTGCACGGAACAATCCTTACTGTAAATATTTTATGCTTTAATATCATCACTCAAGATTCTGAAGTGTCTATGTGGTACACAAGCCCATTGATTGATTGATTGATTTGTGGGGTTTAACGTCCCAAAACCACTATATGATTATGAGAGACACCTTAGTGGAGGACTCCGGAAATTTCAACCACCTGGGGTTCTCTAACGTGGGCCCAAATCTGAGCACACGGGACTACAACATTTCCGCCTCCATCGGAAATGCAGCCGCCGCAGCCGGGATTCGATCCCGTGACCTGCGGGTCAGCAGCCGAGTACCTTAGGCACTAGACCACCGCGGCGGGGCGTACACAAGCCCATAGCCAGGCACTTTTTTTCTAGAAAAGGCCGTTGCTGTAGGCCTGCGTTATTCGAGACTGACAGTTATAATTTATTATCTTTAGTGAAACACCCGATTTCCCCTTGGCCACGGGCTTTGGTGTACATACAAACTTTTTGGCAGATAGGCATTCGTATTTAGTCGCTTGACTCATTCTGCACCGCGCCCTTAAGGCATCAATGGCTCATTGTACGGGACTCTACAGCGACTACGACAGCGAGGGCACTCTTGTTTACTCAATGAGCAGCGAAGAGCCTTCTGACGACGACGATTTAAAGCTGGTGCTGAGCCGTAAAGCGAAGAGGCAGAACGTCAGAACATCTTCGTCATCGAGTACGCTTAACGACAAAGTGCCAAGGAGACCCGTGACAAAACACTATCGCTTTTGTCCCTGAGGTACCTGACGGTAACATGAAGCGCCTCAACAGGCAATCTGTTTCGGTCATGCTGGAAGGACTCGCGCCAAACGAGATCACAGACATCAGAGTGAACACGCGTAAGAACGTATTGGCCATCGACGTTTTACATGCTGCGGCACTTAATGTACTGCGCAACGTCAACGAGTTGGGGGGAATGAAAGTTCGCTCTTACATTCCTGTGAGCTCTAACGTCGTCACCGGAGTCATCTACGATGTGGATACTGCCATTCCCAGCTCCGACATTGATGTTCTGGTCAAACGGGCAAATGAAGCCAGCGTCATCGCAAAAGTTGTCCGTTTGGGAAACTCACGCTGCTTGAAGATCATGTTCAAGGGCGACTCTCTTCCTTCACATGTAAAGGTGGGCCATTTTCGGCATTCCGTGCGACCTTTCGTGCCGAAGCCCATACAGTGTCATAAGTGGATGAAGCTGGGCCACGTGAGAAGCGTATGCGAAAATAAGACGGTGTGACCTCGTTGCGCGGAAGCCCATTCCGCGGATGACTGCGAAGCAACTACCCTCAAATGCAGCTTCATGCAGCTTCATCAAAAGAATGCTCTAAAGTTCAAAGAGAAATAGCGGTATTGAAACAAATGATCAGAGACA